CAGGCGGGTCTCGAACCCGCGGGCTGAGGCAATCCACTCACCTCAGCCTCCCAAAGCGTGGGATTACAGACTGAGCCACCGAGCCCAGCTGAGGTATGGATTCTTATCCTGACTTTTCCACCACTTGTCTTTGACTTCAGACAGATCCTGGAATTTTTCTGGAATTTTGCCTACTCTGTAAAATGAGAATCACAATGCCCATCCGTAGTGGTCATAAGAATGTACCCCACAGACCTCCAATTACATAAAGTAATATTGACCAAGGGCCCCCAACTGTGGCATGGAAATTCATCATGTTGATGCTGAGATCAGACTGTCTTCAGGTTCCTTTTAGCTGGTTCATGAGTATAGGAGGGATACTAACGGAGGCCCATTTCTGGAAGACATGCTAGATAGACTTCCACTTGATAAAATATTTTTCCCTGGGGTGGTGTTGGGGAAGAATGCTTTGTGGCCTGAGCTGGGCAATGCCAGGCTGGTAGTTTCTTGTGGCAAACACTCCCTGCAACCCTGGGCCAGACCTCACACAGCCCTTGTAACTTCACACCCTGACTCTGTTCTTCATAGCAAAATGGGAAGCAGGAAATAGCAAAACCTCAAGAATTAGGAGATGAGTTCCTAACCCTGCTTCCCCCTTTGCACAAGGTTGTCTTGGTTCTTCTTCCCTTTGGGCTTCAGTTTCCTGATATGGACAATGAGGATTGAACTAGATCTGTGGTTTTCACACAGGGTACCTGGGAAATCTGGCAGAGGAGCCACAGGGGTGAGGGGGCCCCATGCCCTGCCCTTTTTCAACTACAGGAACTCTGCTTTGGCTTGATTGATATTGGGCTCCAGAATAAGATGGCATGAACATTTAAACAAGAGAAATGTCCAACCCAGGTAGCAGCTACTGCTGGGTCAGAAATCTACCCAGCTAGGGTGCTGGCAATGCTTAGTGAAGGAAGGGGGCCTGGGTACAGTGGCTTATGACTGTAATCCAAGCACTTTGGGAGGCTGAGGCAGGAGGATCGTTTGAGGCCAGAAGTTCAAGAAGAAAGGAGAAGAACATGTGAAAGTTGTGGCAGTCAAGACAGGACAGAAGGAAGCCTAGACACTGAAGGACTCCAGCAGACAAAGGGAACAGGGATGGCGCCATATAGCTGAAAGGGTCAGGTCTGTGGTTGGGCTTGGAGATATCACAACATTCAGGGCTTGTCCTGTCTCCAGTGAGGAGCAGAGAAGGCAGCATCCAGTCCTCACTGTGGTGTGGGCCAAGATTTTACAGTACTTAGGGAGGATGCAGATGTGGTTGACAAGGTCCCACCCAGAGAAGACTAATTCCTTGTGGTTCCAGGCTACGTCCACAAGTTCTCAATCACTCACTCAATAAATATTCACTGATGTGGTAGCCAGTCTCAGAGATGTCCTCAGTGATTCCATCTTCCTAGTATTCCTGCCCTTGTGTAGTCAGTGTGGGAGGACCCTCACTAAATAGGCTTGGCCAGTGCAACCAGTAAGATATTGGAGAAATGACAGAGTGTGACCTTTGAGGTTAGATCAAAAAGGACATTGTGGCTCCTTGCTCTCTTGAATCACTCGCTCTGGTGGAGGCCAGCCACCATGTCATGATGACACCCAAGAATCCTTTGGAGAGGTCCACATGGCAAGGAACTAAGGCCTCCTGCCAACAACCAGGCGAATGACCCATCTTGAAAGTAAATCCTCCAGCCCCAGGCAAGCTTTCAGATGACTGCAGCTTGGGCCAACATCTTGACTATAACCTAGTGAGAAACTCTATGCCAGAACCACCACACTGTGCCACTCTCAAATTTCTGACCCACTGAAACTATGAGATAATGCATGTTTGTTGCTTTAAGCCATAATATTTTGGGATAAATCAATACAACGCACTGTCCCCACTGTCATCTACTTGCCTAGACCACAACAGGCCTGCCATGGTTTCCCTGCCTCCTGTCTCAAGTCTTTCCAATTTTTCCTTTACAGAGGACCACTTATTAAGAAATATTTATTGAAGATCCTGGCTCTTTCCTGCTCAAAACCTTCTGTGGCTTTCCATTAAGTAGCCCATTTCTAGGAAATATTTGCAAACGAGCAGGAACAGTGCAATGGATCTGACATTCCTGAGCTGATTTGAGGGCAGAGTAGGGAGCAAGAAGAGTCCTCGTTTGCCCTGGTTCCCTGGAATGGCAATCCAAGGGCCACCAGGGGAGGGCAGTTGGGGCTGAGACAAGGCTTTGTTCTGAAGTCCACAATGGCAGGATGCCCAGCACAGTCCCAGCTTCCCCGGCTTCCTCCAAGGCAGGGCAAGGGAGCAGGAGGCTGGGCATCCACTGTGATCTGCTCTGGCAGGACCATGGCCTGAGACCTCTCAATGTGCCCTGGAAGGCTGAAGAGGGGTGGGGCAGATAGCCCAGGAGCCTTGTGGTGGACTGGAGGCATCTGTGATAAGACTGAGGTCCTACTATGTTTCAGACACTATTGCTAGGCCCTTCTCATGCATTAGTCCAATACAGCTTCCAGGTGGGGGTAGGTTCTACTGCTGCCCCCTCTTAATACAGAAGCACAGGAGGGAAATACCCTTATCCAAGGTCACACAGCTCAGAGACACCAGGGTTTGAACCCAGGTCTGACTCCAGAGCCCCTGCTCCTGATTTGTATTCTCTCCTGCATACTCCATGCCACTCGCTGTGCTGGTGCCCTCCTTAAGTTCAGCCTGGTGGAGAAGAAAGAGGATAATCTAGCCCAGGGGTGGGATGTGATCAGGGCCCTCCCAGGAGTGGTATAGGGAGCTGGAGTGACCTCCAGCTGGAGCTTCGAACTCAGCTTGGCCTGGCGTGGGGGTGAGAGGAGGGACGAGCTTCCCAAAGAAGGTGATACCTGTCATCCTGAGAAGAGGCTTACTAGCACAGACTGGTTGGAAAGACTGAGGCTCAGAGAGGTGAAGAGACTTGCCTGAAGCAACAGAGCTAGTGAAAGGGAGAGCCTATAGGGACAATGACCTTTCGATGGAGCTCTCCTCTACCTGGGGCCCGCTGAACCCTCTCTCCCATTTATTACTATGATCCTCACTCCTATAGACACTGCCACCGCTAGGCCAGGAGCCACCAACCTGAGGTCATGCTGTTAGTTGGACTCAAACCCAGACTTCCCGACTCCCAGTCCAGTGCCCTCTGTGCCCACCAATTGGAGCTGTGACAGGAAGGGCTTTGGCTGTGTCCTTGAGGGAATCACGTCAATGTCAGATGATCCTGAATCTGGATCTGTTAACAAACCAGCTTCCAGGTCAGGCACAGCCCCAATAATCCTGTGCCTTGTCTCCACAACCACCAGGAGCAGGCTTTGATCTGGTGGGAGGCTCACTCATTAGCCAAACATTCCCAAAGGCCCAGGAGCCTCTGCAAGGAGCCTGTGCGGGGAGGCTCCTGTTATGGCAGGGGCCTCCCTTGGGGAAGGGCCCTGAGTCACCAAGGAGGCTATGTTTGACCAAAGCCATCTCTCCTTCTGTCCTGCCTGGCAAAGCCTGAGACTGGAGTCCAGAGTTACCCAAGCGGCACAGGAACTGGGCTGAGCTAGCAGCATCTCTGAGTCACAAGGATGATGGGTGGCAGGTAATTCAGTCCAGGCCCACTTGCCCTTCTGAAAGGCCAGCCAGGGTGGAGGCTGGGACCAGGAAACCCCATGCTGGCCCTCCAAGGCTTTCCCACCCCCTAGCAGTAGGCTGGCCCTTCTCGCAGCCCTGCCTGGCACTGACTGGCACAGCAGTCCTTTATGAATTCTTTTACTGAATCTGAATGATTCCTCCCTGAATCCCTGTCTCCACAGACCCTGGCCCCAGCCTGGTTTAGTTCCCTGTCCTCACACAAAAAGGAGTCATTTTCCAGATAGGTCTGGAACTTCAGGGAGGGTGAGTGACTAGCACCATCACCCCCTTCCTCACTTCTGGTCCTGCCCACCAGAATCCTCATCTGAATTCTCTCTGCAGGGATCATCATTCCCATTCTGCAGATCAGAAATCTGTGGCCCAGTGAAGGGAGGCTCCCAGTGAGGTGGGCAGTGCAGGATGAGGTCCCAGGTCTCCCCACTCTGGGCTCGGTCCTTATCATTTTTAGCAGGTAGTCTCTGGAGAAGGCAGCCGGGTGGGGGAAGTGAAGTGTATAGAGCCAATGAAAAGCTTAGAGGGCAGCCTGCCAGCCAAGGAGGCTCTGGGCTAGCTCTAGGGGCTAGGACACCTCTGCTCTCCTGTGAGGCCCTTGGGCACAAACCCTTGTCAAGACCCTTCCTCATTAGCTCTACTTTTTGGGTTTCTCTGTTGACCAGGATGAAGTACAGTGATGTGATAATAGCTCACTGCATCCTTGAACTCCTGGGCTCAAGGGATTCTCCCGGAGTGGCCTCCCAAAGCACTGGGATTATAGGCATAAGCCACCATGCCCAGTCAGGTTTCTCTTTTAAAGGAGAGTTGAGTGTTTGGGTTTCATCTCCCAGACAAAGGTTTAGCCATGAGAAGGAAGGAAGATGTATAGCAAGAGGGTACTGGACAGAGCACACAGCACATGCAAAGGCTCCAGTGAGGCGACCTGGTGTCACAAGGAAGTAGGTGAGGCTGGAAGGCAGAGCCCAAGGGGAAGAAGACAGGAGCTGGCAAGCCCGCAGGGGCCAGGCCCTGAGGGACTTGTGGTCTGGGGTAGAAAGTTCTGACTTTGTCCCCAAAGCAGTGAGGAGCCTCAGAGGGTGTGTGTTTTACGAAGATCCTGTTGGGCGAAGGAGGCTGTATAGAAGATGGAGTAGAGGTGCCAGGGCAGGGCTGGGAGGAGGCTGCTGCCATCATCCAGAAGATGGGCAATGGCAGCCCAGGCAGTGGAAGGATTTGAGGGATAGGGCTGGGTTGGGGCCTAGACAGGCCTCGGTGGGTAAGGGGGACGTCCTGGTTTCTGTGTGGGTAGCCCACTGCTTTCTCTATATTGTCTTGACTGTATCTCCAAGGAATGACACAGGTATACAAGCAAAAATAGTTTATTTGAGGACGGATGACCCAAAATTGGGGGCCCAGGGGTGAGGTCACAGCAGCTGCCTGGAGTTGGCACAGACTACCCCAACTCCCTAGGGGAGCCCAGCAGCAAAGAAGCTTTTCCCTGGGCCCCCTAGCTGCCTCCCCCACAGGAGGAAGGATTGTGCAACCGCCAAGAATCATCATCATCGTCATCATAACACTTGAGGTTTTCCGTTTGCCCAGCATTTCTGGGCATAGTAGTCGATGCTAATCATAATAATTACTCTGACAAGCACAGTGACTATGCCAGGCTTGGACCCACCATCCAGTGGTGAGCAGAGTCTGTGACAAGGGTGAGGCAGGCAGAGACAGGAGGTAGGTCTCTGGGAGTCCCCACTCCAGTCTCCAAGGCAACCCTTCCAGAAGGTGCCTCTCTCTCCCATGGCCCCCAGCAAAGGCGGCTACCTGTTCTCCACTTTTCCTATGACCACTGGCCACGGCTGGATTCAGGCTGGGGCTTCCCGGGTGGCCTCAAAGACCCTTGTCAGGTTGGTCCCTCTGCCACAGCCCCCTGCGGGCAGCCCAGGAGGCCACGAACTCGCAGTTGTGGTAAAGGAACATTCCTGAAAGAGTGAGTGCAATGCCCACGTAGCTGAGAGCACTGAGGCAGCTGCCAAACAAGAGCCGGGACAGGATGAGGTTGCCCACAACGGTGAGGTTGCCCAGGACGTGGACGGTGAGGGCCGAGGTGAGGGCCAGCAGGGAGAAGCTGGCCAGGTTGTAGAGCACAGACAGCAGGCAGCTGAGCAGGATGCAGGCCCAGAGGCGGGAGTCAGCAGGAGCGGGTGGTGGGGCCACACCAGCCTCCAGCACCAGGGCGGCTCCCGCCAGCAGGCAGAAGCTGGGCAGCGAGGTGGCGTACAGCAGAGTCACCGCATCCAGCCTCTCCTCCTGCAGCAGGGCACCTGCAACCAGGACAGCAGCTGTCAGCACCCAGGGTAAGACAGCCCCACTCAGCCAACCCAGCATGACCTCCATGGCTACTCCAGAAAGCCTACCTGACCGCCCAGAGGAGGTTAGTGGCTCCTACTCTGAAATGTGATGGTCAAGCATCAGAATCGGACCACCTGGGCTTGTGACTGTGTCCACTCCTCACTATCTACCTGGGCTCACAAGAGGCATTTCACCTCTAGAACCTTGGTTTCCTCAGCTTGAAAGCTGGGTAATAAGAAAGCCTAATACATGAGGCTGTTATACAAATGTAAAAAGATACACACATAAAGTCCTTGTAAAGTGAGTGCTCAAGAAATGTCAAAAAAATTAAAATGTCTGCTATCACTCACTTCGAGCCACCTCTCATAGGCTGGAACAATGATCTGCTTAGGATATCTAAATGATCAATAAGCATGAAAAGTGGCTCAAAAACAAAAAACCTGCAGGGGTCTCCCTGCCCTAGAGGAAAAAGTCCTAGGTTCTTAACCCTGCTTTGAAGACACTACACCAAGTGGCTCCAATGACCTTTCCTGGCCTCATGCCCACCAGGACCCCACACTGCAGCTCTGGCCACCACAGCTGGAACAAGCCAGCAGAAGTTCCCAGTTCTGCCACTTACTAGCCACATGGCCTCTGCATTAAAAAAAAAAAAAAAAAGAAGAGTATTAAAATAATAAATTGTTTGGGTATGTTCATTCATTGCTTCCTTCACATATGACCACTGGGCTGACAGGGAACAAGAAGGTCATTGTGGGCTCTTGGCAAGCACTCATTGTTTATAACCGATGATCAGCATGTTTTGCTACTGACACCGGAGCATGTCAGAAAGAATTCAGGACTAAGAGGGAACCTTTCAGCTTTGCAAGGAAAGGGGGGACCCTGCTGCCTTGCCCACATATGCATGTGTACCTGCGTGTGCCTGTGCGTACACATGCTATCACCAGCTGTTCACAAAGGAAGGGACGCCAAGGGGAAAGGGCAGTATCTGCATGAGGGCAATGATGGTGTGGAACCCTCTCCAAATTCTAGTGGAGAGAGATGAGTAATTGATGCAGGTCCCCTCCTAGGGCTCTGCGGGCTTCTATGCATTTTCTGACACACACTTTCCTAAGAGACTCAGAGATGCTTACTCATAGGCTATGCTCAGAATAGGAAATTTTCTCTCTCTGATGTTTTGGCTTTGTTCTCTAGGCAACAGTCCCTCCGGCTCAAGCATTTCTAGAAAGGAACAGATAATCGGAATGTCTCCTGCTCATTGGCTCCAAATTTAGCACCATTATAAGTTGCCTGTGTAAGGTTCCCTCATAAGAACCTTTGGTGAATTCACCTTTGGAGAACTTCACCCTCTGCGAGGCAGCCAGGCAGTTTCTAACCTCCCCACCCGTCTCCTGAGATCTGCTGCATCCCATTCAGCCTTCCATCTCCCCTCCCTGCAGCAGAAGAGGCAGTGACCCTGTGTCAGACGTAACTCATCCCTACTTGGGGCCCCCAAAATGTCAGCCTCTTCAGTGACTCTTCCTCTGCCAGCCCCCAAGTCCTCCATTTCAACCTCTCCTTTCATGGGAAGATACCCAAGCTTCTGCCACATGCTGACAACAACTGACCCGAGTCTAAATGTTGTCCTCTTGCCACTGGCTTATCCGCTCTTTGCTCTTTCACTAGCTGGATGATACTGGGCAAGCCACCCTCTCCATGCCTTGGTCTCCCTGTGCGTAGTATGGGGGGGCATGTGAGTTGCTTAATACAGGGCTTGATGCCCAGTGGTATCCACTCACTCCAGAAGCTGGCACAATCCTCACACTCTGCTCCTGCTGGCTGCCACCCCATTCCCGGGCCCAGCCTGCTTCCCATTCCCAGAATGTCCTTTCCTGCTCCATCAGTATGAAGAGCCGGGCACAGTGTGGGCACCTAGGGAGAGCCCAGCACTGTTTGCTATCATGATTACATTACTATTATTATCATCCTGCACACCCCCTCCCCTAGGCAGCCTTCTCAGAGCTCCCACAAAGAAGCAACTGCTCTACCACACCTGTGACCACCTTGTCTCTAGAACTCTCTCTTGCCATTGTGATCTCTATTTCTGAGTGTGTATCCCCAATCAGCCTCAGAGCTCTGAGGACAAGAATCGAGTCACGCTGCTCTGTGAGGCAGGTGGGTCCAGCAAAGAACAGACTCAGCAAGCTGGCACCCTGATTCCTAGACTTTCTGTAGGTAGGAGGGTGGCATCACCTTCTACCCTGCAGGCTCGGGGCCTGCAACTGACCCAGGTAGGAGGAAAGCTGCTGGCCCTGCTCACAGCTGCCTGGGCTCTCCTCTTCCTAGACACTTGTTACTATAGACTCTGCTCCCAAGAAAAGAGTTGGCATCAGTCATTTACACTCTAGTCTGAATCTGGCTGTGGTGCATCTCCTGTAACCACTGGCACTAGAAACCTCCTCTTGTTCAAAACCCATCTCAGCCCCAGCTCCAGTCTGTTCCTTGCATCTCTGTCAATCGGGCCTCTGGCCTCGTAAGCCCCCTCCTTAGCACCCTGAGAACCCTGAGCCAGCCTACCAATTCAGCTGGCAGTGCTGTCAAGAAAACCAACATTTAAGGAGTATCTGCTCTGTGCCAGACCCGGGGGGCCAGGTGCTAGGGACCCACATTTTCTCCAAGCCTGACTGGTGGGAAGCAGACAGCTAACCAAGTGGCTATATTAGGGGACAGTCGAAGCCACAATGGGGGAAGCAGAGGACACTGTGGGAGCTCAGAGCAAGCACCCAACCTGCCCAGAGGGTCAGGAGCTGAGACTTGGGAGGGAAGAAGGGAGCTGGCAGAAGCCAAGAGTCCTGGTGCCAGGCACTCGCTGCTTGATGCCTGGCCGGCAACAGCCTCACCTGCAGACCAGAGCTGCCTGGGTCCCTGTGTGAGGACTACGGGGCCTCAGCAGGGGCAGTGTGGGCCTTGAGGCTGGGACCTTCACAGCCTTGCGGCCTTGTCCAGTAGGGACCGGTGGGGTCAGGTTTCCCAGTGCCAACGCATGCCAGGGCTCATGCCTGAGCTCAGTCTCTAGCTCTCATGTAACCTGAGGGCAAAAATAGAACTGGGCTTTGGCCATGCCTCAGGCCCCAAGAGGATGGGGAGAAGGCCAGGGCAGGGCTGAACTCCGACTTCAGTCTTCCCTGACTGCGGGCTGCCTCCAACCCCAGCCCAGTACCCTGGGAGCCCCACTTTCCTTCTCCCACACCTGGGTCACAGGATGTCAGAGCAGGAAGGGCGAGCAAGAGGCCCTTCGGACTCCATCAACTCTGACCCTCCTCCACTGAACAGACGGGGAGGCAGAGGCCCAGATAAGAGCTGGACCTGCCCAAGTATGAGCAAAGATATGGCTGGAACCTGGGCCTTCCTGCCCCGAGTGGGCGCCCTGGCCTCCATCATGTCTCTTTGAGCTGAGAGAAGGGTGGGGTCTGTGATTCAGACACCCCTCAGGAGGACAAGCAGGAAGCCAGCCTCCACCCTCAAGTAGAATGATCTATAAGGGTCTAGGCCTAGAGGCTCTGCCCTACCCTGCCCAGAGGTCCACCTCCCCCCTTCATCAGAGCCAGTGACTAAAGTCACACAGACCAGGCTTCAAATCCTCAGGAGCCATGTGACCCTGCACAAATCATGAATCTCTTTGAATCTCAGGCCTATCTGTAAAAAGGGGATGTAGATGGCATTGACAGGGATGACTCAAGGTCAACACCCAGCACCAGGTCGTCACACTGGAGCTCCCAGTAAACATCAGCCCTTCCCACACTTAACCCAACCCCTTGCCTTCTAAATCCCAGCTCAAGTCTTGCCCTCTTTTTCTCTCCCTGCTCCACGATTTCTGGCCTCCCCTTGGGTTCACAGCCTTATACCACATCACCTGGACAGCAAGAGTCTGACTGCCTGGATTCAAATCTTGCCTCTGCTGCTCACTGGTTAGTGGTCCAGGGCAAGTCTCTCCATCTCTCTATCAAATGGGAATACACTGAGATAAAAGGCTAGACAAAACATGGGACACAGGTCACTGGCAACTATTATTAAATACAGGTTGGGCCTGCAGAGCCTGAGTTGGGGGCTGAACTCACTGAGTTGTTGGCCCTCTCAGAATCTCAGTTTCTGCCTCCTCCAAAGCCATGAACCTCAGTTTCCTCATCTGTAAAATGGGATAATGGCCAAACCCCTCACAGGGACATCCAGGCCACCCATCCACCCAGACCCCCACCTCCTCAGCTGGTGACCCAAGCACTCACTCTGCTGAACTGACTTGAGGCCGCGGAGGCAGGTGGCAGCTAGCAGGAAGCCACAGCCGGTGGGAGGTGCTCGGAACTCTCCGGCCAGGCTGCAGGCGGCCCCCAGGCAGAGGGGGCCCATGGCAGCCAGCTGCAGCGGGTGGTGGCGCCGGCCGAGCAGCAGCGCTGACAGGGCCAGCGTGAACAGGGGTGTGGTGGTGGTGACCAGCTGCGCCAGGTCCAGGGGCACAGCGCTCAGGCCCACGTTGCCGCAGGCCATGGAGGTGCCGAAAGTGAGGCTGAGCAGCAGCACTCGGCGGCGAGTGCCACCTGGCATGGGGCGCCGTGCCCCCCGGTGGCATGCCAGGGCTGCCACCAGCATGTGCAGCGCCGAGAGCAGCAGGGGCCGCCCAAAGCCGTGCACTGTGAAGATCCACTTGTTGAGGCTTGACATGCTAGCTCCTGCCAGCAGCCACACCAGGGCTGCCATGGCCACCCGGGCCCGGCCAGGCTGCCCGAGGGCCTGGGGGCTGCCAGGGGACCACTCGGGGGGCCCAGTCACCCGAGCACCACCAGCTGTTGCCACTACTTCGGCTGAGGTCATCCTGCCATCATGGTGCTCCAGCGGGCAGCGGCACATTCGCACCAGTGGGGCTAGGGCAGGAGGAGGGCTCCCCAGTGACCAGCTCTGGGCCACCAGAGAGCCCAGCTTTGGGCCAGGCCAGATCTTGGTTCCTCGGCGTCTGTGCCCTGTCGCAAACAGGTGAAAGCACAGCTTACTTGTGCCAAGGCCTGTGCCAGCGAGGCTGGGAGCTCGATTCCCGGCTCAGACAGGACAGAGGCAAGGTCGTGGCTGCTGAGATGCCAGGCTCTTCGATGCTCAAGCCTGGGCTCCAGATACCTCTGCCCTGAGCCAGGTGAAGTCACCACTCTCTCCCCCCTCCCTCCGCCTAGTGCCCACGCTGTGCTCTTAGATGGAATCTTCGTTCCTTTTTTCTCTTCGGTCCCCAGGCCGTTAGGGTGGGATCCAGACCCCGGGAACTCCTGCGTGCTCAGGCCGTGACCAGGCCTGGCAGGGGCGATCCGGGCTCTGCGCCTGCGGTGTTCGGGGGAGTCGCGGCTAGCAGCTTCCCGCAGTGCCCGGACGGTGAGCCGACACGACGACCCGCGCTCGGCCGGGGTCTGGCGGCGAGCTCGGCTCGGCTCTACAGGGCCTGCGCCCCCACTCCGGCTCACCGACCTCCGGCGGCGGCTCCGGCGCCGGCAGCGGCTCCCGCCCG